AGTAATATATATATATATATATATATATATATATATATATATATATATATATATATATATATATATATGCCCGGTACGCCGAAACGTTTTACGGCAAAAATAAATGATTTGCTGAAAATGATTACCCCATTCTCAACCTTTTTTATTTTCTCAATTGAACTTACCTTTCTCCCGATGTGTTCCGATGTGCAGGAACACATCCCAATGCTTCTTCCCACGACGCTAAGTCCGGCCTAATAGTAGTAAACTAACCTTTTTATGCACTTAATGATCACATAAATTTGTAAAGCGCACTTACACCATTTTTTAGTCACCTAATGAGCAAAAGAAATAATTTGTGCCCTAAAAAACAAAATAAAAATAGTTCTTTCTTATACCACTTTCTATATTATGTAAAACAGCCATTAAAAAAGTCAAGGTTTTAAATAACAAAAATAACAAGCAAGAACAAGTAAAAGCAACTTTCACTACCTCTAAATCATCAGCATCTTCTTTTTCTTTTACAACAATACACACAACAAACAAAACACGAAACTAAAATAAAAAGAAAAAAACAACTTATAGTTTTTTTAGACATTTTTCTTTATCATTTATTGTTCTTTTTATGAGCAACAGCTGTCCATAGTTGTTGTGTGATCTTCAGACTTGGGCTTTAGTAAATTTTTTGTCACTATTGTAGACCCTTCTTCAACAAGGCTAGGAACTTCCATTATCTTGGATAACAAAACAAACTGGTCAAGAAAGTCAACAATCTATATAAAATTGTTTTCTAAATTACGGATATCATATTTTGCATTTTCACCTTTTTAGCAGAAAAAACATAATGGAAATTTTCTTTTCTTGCATAAAAACTATTGATAACTGGATTTTTTTTTTATGTAAGCCACTCCAATTTTACATACTAAGGAGGTGTTTGGATAAATAGCTTTTAGCTTATTGCTTATTTGCTTATTGCGGTGGGAATAAGCATTTTTTTTAAATGTGTTTGGATTAGTTTATTGCGGTGGGAATAAGCAATAAGCAATAAGCATTTTAAGTGTTTGGCAAACAAAACAGCTTATAAATGACCAATAATCAATAAGCAAATGGTTTTCTCGCTAGAAAACATATCAACCAACCAACTGATTTTTGTACGTAATAATGGCTTAAAAAAATCAAATTACAAATGGTTTTCTCGCAAAAAAAAGTATATAGGTTTTTCTAAAATTTGCTCTTTTAATTAGCATTTTTTTATAAGGAATATAAGTTATGCACATTATTCGTACAAATTAAAAAACAAAATGTGAAAAATAAAATATTTAGATTTTAAATTACAAATATTAAAAATTAGAGGTTCAATTTTACCTTCAATGAAAGCTCTTCGAAGCATTGGTGTACATTTTCTAGAGTTGTTGCACTGCACTCATAAAATAAGCATCCAAGTTCTTTCGCGAGGGAAACACCTTCTTCCTTGCTTACAAATCTTTCTGCATCCTAAAATCACATTTAAAACATGTGTAAAACATGTGTAAATTGCATGAAATAGCAATTTACCTTCTATATATTTCTAATACCACGTTTTAGTTTCACTTGTTTTTTATATAAAGGTTTTAAACTTTAAATTGCATTGCTATTTCTTGCAATTAATTATTTGTTTTCTACAACCTACTTTGTCAACTTTATTTCCAATGAGCATCTTGACACAATCTTGATTAGTGGAGTACCGCTCGACTTCTTTAGCCCAAATGTCTAACAAGCTTGTGAATGTATCTCTCCTTGTAACATCATACACTGTGAAAAGCAAATCAATTTTGACTTTTATAATTAGGTAAATTCTTGAAAGTAAAAAATAATTTAAAGTAAAATGCTATAATCAGGTAGATTTTTAGCCATGCTTACCAAGAATGATGCCTTGAGCACCTCTGTAGTAAGAGCTTGTCAATGTCCTAAACCTTTCTTGTCCAGCTGTAATAAACATAAGATCAAGATGAACAAAACTTATTCTAAGAGGATTTCATCTAAAGTAACTATTGTATAAACAAATATTGTTTTTATATTAAATAAATTGTGTGAATGAGATTAATAAAACCACGTTTGCGAGATCCTTACTTACCAGTGTCCCAAATTGTAAGCTTTAATCTCTTTCCCCCAACTATAAGCTGTTTGATCTTGAAGTCAACCCCTGGTCAACAATAAGGTGGAAATTAAGTAGAAGCTAGAGCAAGTTGTGAATAAAAACAGACTCAAATATTATAAAAATGTTGAAGCTAATATCACCAATTACACTAAACTTTACAGCCAATAATGGTCATAGGAAAGATACAACAAATTACAATTTGTATGTCTCATTTAACTAACACAGTTTTCCTTTGGATATATAGACTAAAGTCTCAATATTTTCAACGATTTGATAAGAAAGTCTTAATTTTATTTTTTTTGACAGCAAAGTCCTAACTACCGTTAATTTTTGACACGTTTATCCTTTTTTGCTGGTTAGGCCGTAATTAAGATTTTATTGTTAAAAAAATAAAGTTTATGACTTTCCTGTCAAATCGTTAATTAGAACTTTACTGTAAAAAAAAATTTAAGACTTTTTTGTAAAATCGTTAAAAATATTAGGACTTTAGTGTATAATCTAGATTTCCATAGACAAATAATTTTATCAGTCTCCTGAGCATATTGTAAATACGCACTTCAGAAGTTCAAATATGAAATATTATTAGTAGATATACGTAATATCCAGCATATAAACATATAAAATAGGAACAATACACAAATTTTGCATCAATTCTCGAATTACAAAATACTTAGAAAAAAGTTCAGAAACTTCAATCAATCAATTTAGTAAATTAAGGTGAAGTTAAGTTACCAATAGTAGGGGAAATATCCTCGAGAGAATTGGAAACGAAACTGACGAGAAGACTACTTTTGCCGACACCAGAATCTCCGATCAACAAGATCTTAAATGACAGATCGTATTGAGCTGACGACAAACTCATTTTGATAAATTTCAATTGAATTTTCAACAAAACTTTATCTCTCTCTCTCGCTCTAGATTATTTGAGTAACAAGCAACACTAACAACAATTAAGCGCCACAAAGATGAGATTTGTTTCTCCAAATGTTGGATTAATATAAGAAACAAATTGAAAGCTCACCATTAATGGCATCCGATGCTTTCACTATTGATGAAGAAATTGAAAGAAGCGAGTGTGAATTTGAGAGCGAATCTAGAGAGAGAAAGCCTCTGAGAAGAGCAAACGAAGGGATGTTTCATGGTGTGGAAGTTGATGAGACGAATTTCGTTTTTGCGCGCATTGCACGGCTTCTTGTCAGCCAAGGTGAAAATATTTCATATTTACAACTTTTAGGTGAGTGAGTGACTCTCGTACCACACCTCACGGCATTTTTTACCATTCCAATACAATTTATTTTTTTAACCGGCAAATACAAATATATAATTTATTTCTGAACTAACACCTAATTTCGCTTATATTCACAACGAGACTTAGATCATCGACCTCAAAGAGTGAGGCAGCACCTGATACCGGTATACTAGAAGCCCCTTTGGTATGTCCTATACAACTATAACTCGTGGGGTGTTATACCTCACTTTACCATATTTTTGTTTTTTTTAATTAAGCAAAATGTAAATTAGTTAAAAAAAAAAAAAAAAAACATTTGTTTTCATTGAATAACATGTAATTAACTAAAAAAACTTCATTAATTTAATTGAAATGATTGCATTCCTAAAAACGAAAAAAAAAACGATTAAAATCCTAAAATCGGAAAAAAAAAATTAAAATCCTAAAAACGACAAAAAAAAAAACATAAAACCGATAACAATTCTAAAAACGATTACTACTTGCAATATTTTTTTCATGATGTCCGCTCTAGCCTTCAAAACCATATCGAGATCGTTTCTGTAGTGGTGATCAAAATGTTTTGTTAAAAATTTCATATCCTGGCTTTTTTGCTTCTCTTCTCGAGCTTGTTGCTTTTCCTCTCTTGATCTTTTTTTCTCCCCCAACTTCTCCTTTTCAAAAGTCAAACGAGTCTCAAAATTCAAATTATAAATTTCCAAACTAGTAGCAACACTATTCACTTCATCTCCTCTTCCCATTGCCAATGTATTTGACGACGATCCTCTCTTTCTTGCCCTATCTCGATTCGTTGGACGAACTACTTCTTCAAGCTCGAGCTCATTCACTTCGTTCGAATCAAACCCAAAATATGCATCTGATGAAGTAGTGTAAGTCGTCTTGGAAACGTAGGTTATTTTTTAACCACCTTTTTCGCTACCATACTCTTTTATCCATTTCGGGGAATTGGATAAAAATCTCTAAATGTCAAGAAACTTGAATGGCTTCTTATTATTATCAACAAGAAAATTTTTAAGAGTCATCTCTAAAATTTGTTCATCGCCTTCCCTACTTTTCCGTTGAGTTAACAAATTGTTGTAGATGTCGTTAAATTTAGTAATAAATTTATTCATCTCGCGCAACTTGCTAGTACTGTAAGTCCCTAATCTGCTTGTGTATCAATCAGATCCGTTTGATGGTGCGGAATCTCAATCAAACGGATGATGTCATATCAAATAGAAGAGAAGGAGAAGAAGAAGATGATGAATCTTGTATGTATTGATATGAATAAAGATCTGGATACAAGATTCACACACACTTACACACACTGTCTTTTCTCTCTCTAGAACACCTTCAAATGCACACACTTAAGCTCCTCTATTCTATGTGTTCATCCTTCACATTCACTCCTTACCCTATATATATATGGACCTAAGGCCAAGCCCAAAATACAAATAATCCAATGCTCGGTCCAAGCTACAATTAATCCTATACTATTTTTGGCCCAAATAATAAAAACAATAAATGCTTAGAAAAGCAAAGTATAAACCATATTTTTGACCCAACAATCTCCCCATTGGTTTATAGCTTTCTTTTCTTTTCTTAAATGACCCAACAAGCTCCCCCTAAAAAGTAGTTGGCTTTTCTTGTTAATCCTCATTGGGAGCTTTGGTTTCAACTTTAATCTTCAAATTCTTCACAACTTCAAGATGAACTATATTTTCATTTTATATCAAAACCTCGAGATGTCATGTTCCGATACAGATCAAAAGCATAAACAAGACA